AGTTCGATAGGTTTATTTCTAAAAGTTTTCGGGAAAAAAAATGATATCTGTTTCAGTCCTAAGAAACAATGTATTAGAAAGAGACCTTTCTCATTTTCCTTACACATATAAAATCCTTTTCTAACACATTGGTCCTTACCACAAAAACAGATTTTTTTTTTTTTCTCGAAAACTGTTAGAGATAAACCTATGGAACTTTATATCATTGAAATCAGCAAAAACAGAGCTATCCAATGAGCTATTAATATATATAGGGTGTTTCATTAAAAAATATCGGACTTTGGTCGATATCTCAAAATCGGAGCAATATACGCATTTTAGTTTGGAAAGTTTCACTTTTTAAATTATAAGCTGACACACTTACACAAATATCAGCATTGAGAATTATTGGAACAATAATGTTAATTATTAAATTATTTCGGTTTAAAGTTAACTTTTTTTGTCAAGTTACAAACTGATGGTTACTTTATGCTTAAAAATTTCGAAAATTTCATCAAATGTACAAATTATTGTTGAAAGTTCTCGATTTTATTATCTTCAGAATAAAGCACATTATTTTAGAATTATTTTTTTTTCAATTAATAAATAAAAATAAATAAATAAAAAGTTTAATTTGTAAGAGTAACTTATATTAAGCAGAAATTGCTTGATTTGTTTTTAATACCAAGTGTTGCAAAATAAGTGTTCCAAATATTGGTTGTTAAAATTTACATTAATTAGGTACGTTCCTTCTATCTCGTAGAAAAAATAGTGTTCTAACTCGTGCGGAAAGTCTCTTTTCCTCACTGGTTAGGAAATATACTATTACAGAAATAAAAAAAAAAGATAAATAAAAAACTTATAGCTATTTTTCGTAATAGGGGGAAATCGAAAAACGTCCTGTATCAATGGTACCATTGAAGATATCGTGATACGGTTTTTGACAATCGACGTTTCTCGAAAATCGATCCCATGATGTCAAAGTCAATTTTCCTCAATCTGGTCTAGAAGTATGTTTTTTCTGTTGAAACACTCCAAATTGCAGCACCCTGTACAAAGTCTGTTCCCTTAGCGCGGTTCCAAAACTTAAACAAAAAAAATGCAAAAAAAAGTTTGATACAAAAGTTAATAGCTCTTTTCACGTGGCTCCGGTTTAACAAACCGCAACATACCACTCAAATTCGAGTGGTATCAAAGATGTCACTTTGTAACCGGGTTAGAAAACGGTATGTCATTTCTCTAACCGTCTCGGCGATATGGTTACGCCGAGCGGTTCGAAGAAAAAAATATAAATAACGGAGAGCGGGAAAGTTCGGAGAAGTGTAAAAACTAAATAAAAAGTTGTTTTTTGTATATATTATTATATTTCATGAATTTGAAGCCCGAAAGCCATTTTCCCTTGTATACAGCCTGATTTACGTAGCCCGTGCATTAGAAATTATTCAGTTTGCAGGTAGATTAGCATAAATACCACCTAATCTATCTGGTAATGCACGGACTACGTAAATCACCCTGTATTATACTCGAAAGATGTAGCAGAGACAATCCCAGTTTACCTATACTTGATGGGCTCTTGAAGACTGTAGGTAACAAGAACTTTAGATAAACTGGTTCTAGTAGGTCTATCCACCCATGGTCCACATCTAAAGCATTGAAAGAAAAGAAATTAAACTATTTTTCACTTTTTAGCTTGCTGTAATAAAAAGGAATGAAATATAGGATCCGCAATTTTGAAAAAAAAGCTTGCTTCCCCTATTTCTCCACATATGAATTAATTGTGAATAGACCTATCTCCCATGATTAGAAAAAGAGAGCTTCATTGTAATAAATACAAGTTAGAAAACAATAGAAGATGACATGCGCGCGCAACTCGTAGGCTGCAGTGTAGCCAGATTGTATTGTTGCAGAACAAATGTAGACAATACAAATCGAACATTATAACATTAAAGAAGTAATATAGTCTCAAGTGTTTCACAACGCCTTAAATCAGACAAAAGAAGAGCTTTAAAAGTGGATAAACATCGTTTGCACTTTTATTTTGATAAATGTTTCATCCGGCAACATCGCTCAATGAAATTGCAAAGGTATATGTCAAGTATAATCTAACATAACCTTAAACGAAACTGTGGTGGTGAGTTCAAGTAATATGTAAAGTATTAGTTTGCTCTTTGTCAAATTACACGTTACAAAGAAAGAAGGAACGATTCATTCTGAACAGGCCCCTAAATAAGAATATGACGCAAGCCTGTCATAAACTTGTTTCTCATTGGACGCTCACCTGCAGCCTACAAGCGACGCGCGCAGTCCAGGTAATAGGAGATCGGTCTATTGCTCACATTTAAGAAATTTTTGTCCATAGTAGACATAATTCAGATTCAACGGCACTGGCGAAAATATTGAAAAATCAAAAATTGAAAACACAAAACAAGTCAAACACCTATACCTATCCTCAAATCGAATTTAAAATAACATTTTTCTAACCGTTCGTTTTCAAGTGGCATTTTCAGCAGGGTTGTTCTTACCAGCACAATTGTGCTGAAATCAGCAGAATTGCTCCTTTTCCAGCACATCAGCACATTTCAACTGAAAATCAGCACATTTAAATATACGATAAATTTCGAGAACTTCCCTGACGATACGATGGATACTAGACACTTGTCCGCCTCCGATCCGTTGGAGCAAGGTGTGGAACGGAAAACGAACAGTCGAGCAGTTCGAGCACTTATTCTGTAATTTTTGAACTCACCTAATTAGTATTCTTAGTTGACATTTAGCCATTGACATTTTGAGACGATGACACTGATGGATGACAGTATACATTATAGCCGCTTTCCAGCTGACGCTTTTGAGCACGCAATCGAGCTTTTGCGCGCGCAAATGCTTCAAGCGCGTTTTCGTGTTCCAGTCGTACTGCGCTTCGAGAGTTGCTAACTTTTGCGTTTCAAACACAGAACACTGTGCTGCACCGTGCTTGAAGCACACAGCTGGAAAGCGACTCATGTTGACAGTGGCGCAAATAAATAAATATTTTATTGTTTATTTTGTTTAATAAAATAAAATATACCTACCCAATTTATTTACATTGTTTTTTTTTATACTGCTATTTTCTAAAATATTGAATTTGACGTTTTTGACGTTTTTGTCCGCATCAGCACAATTGAGGTCCAAATCAGCACCTTGGCAACGCTAAAATCAGCACCTAACCTTGTTGTCCCAGGAACAACCCTGATTTTCAGTGATGTCATCACTTGACATACCTACCGTCCCTAACCGTTTTGTAACCCGGTTAGTTTAAACTGGAGCCACGTGAAAAGAGCTGTTGGGTTTTATCTTCATTATATTTTGAACATGTCAAAATAAGTCAATGAGAGGTGCCAACTGTCAAAATGACAAACACATGCATTTTTTTAAATGGAACACTCTGTATATTTTTGGGTAGAATAATAGATTTTTAAAACCCTACAACTTTTGAATTTAACTTTTTTTTGTATTTCTTTTTGTTAAGATTATAGAAGCCGCATTAATTATAAGGAACAGGCCCGTTAACTACCTGCTATAGTTATTTGTGTACCAAGGCCGTAAAGTTGATCTTTTTTGGCCGAATCAGAAATTTGCGGCCGAGGCCAAACAAATTTCAGGGGAGGCCAAAAAAGATCATTAGGCCGAGGTGCACATAAAATTTTTAAGCCGAGTGTTTGTTCTTGAAAAAAGAAGAAAATTCAACAATAGCTTTAAACTTTTGTTGATCAAATAAATAATCCAGCAAAGATAAGGTAGATACATAAATATTAGTAACAAAGTAATTGTAAATTTTAACATAGAGTATACATAGGTATACCTGTGAACCATAACGTTGATGATTTTTTAATTTTGGCATTTTCCGAAAAAAATGCAAGAAAATACTTCTCCAAAATTTTTAATCTTATGCCGTTTTCTTTAGCATTTTATGTGGAAATTTGGATAGACCTAAAATTAAAAATTTGATTTCATTTTGGTTGCTAACTAATTGTTTATTGGTTGTGTTGATGGTTACGGCACCGCGTTTTCGATTGTCTGTTTATTTTCACCAAAGTAGCGGCCGTAAAGTAAAAGCGGCCGTAAAGTGATAGAGCAAACGCGGCCGTGAAGTAAATGCGGCCGTAAAGTAAATGCCGCCAAAAAAGATATAGGTACTTTAGAGATGATATTGAATTCGTAAAACTAATCTTTTTGTGACAGTCGCCTGAAATAGTTATTTATGCAACAAGTGTGTAAAGTGAAGTGCTTTACGCACGTATTGCATACAAAATTTTTTGTACTATCAATCAAATATGTGTACAAAAATAGATTTAGACAAATACTTTACGCACTAGTGCGTGAAATATTTTCACTTTACGCACTAGTGCTAGTGTTGACATCTGTCATTGACATTACTTTACGCACTAGTGTGTGAAGTGAATTACTTTACGCACTAGTGCGTGAAGTGTAATTTCACGTCTTCTGAATAGTGCGTAAAGTGAGTACTTTACGCACGGTAGTAGAAAAAAACTATTTTCGAGACTATTTTGCTACTTTTACCGCACGAAAAAACTGATAAGCAAGGTGAGCATTGCTCTGCTGCTACTTGAATGAAGCATTTGCAAGACAATTATTAAAAATAAGGTTGCTACCTCTACATGCAAGGCAAAATTTAAAATAAAAGGAATCCTTTATTCATAGGAATTGTAGCATTTGCATTCTGCATCACTTTTTACTATAGAAGCAAAACTTTTGATACCAGCCGCCATTGTATGGTAGAATAGAGGATAGATAGCATAACGTTCATAATATTTACATAAATATCTCGATAAATATAATAATAATTTATCTTTGATTTTATTTGTTTATTGTTCATGTACCTAATGTTCTCAGAACACAGCACATGAACACGTGAGTGTATACGCGTGATAAATTAAATATGTATTAAAAGTTCACAACTATACTAAGATAAATTTACGATACAGTAACATGCGACACAGCTATTTTCTATAACATAAATTAACCTGTTTGAGCCAGCCGACAACACTAGTTACTTTGTTGGCAACTTCTGCTGGAACTTCGATAGAGTGATCTTCCACCAGCGAACTCCATTTGGCTCTCAATGCCGCTTGAGCTGTGAAACTTGCCATTCTGAATTTTTGTTCTCAACTAATCAATCAAAAAAAATTGTTATGAAAAAAATGAATGAGCCGAATTATTCGAAACAAGGTATAGTCATATAAGCTGTGCAACAAGAAGCAAAGAAGTCAGAGGCAGTAGGCTGAAGGCTTCCTATTTTTATATATACAACCGTTCAGTAACTAAGGACTAAGGAAGGTATATACCACTCGATTTAGCGTGCGGCAAGTACATTAATACCGCATGCGGCGTGCGGTAATATTATGACCGCACGGCGTACTGCAATATTATTACCTACCGCACGCTGAACAATATTGATTAAGGCTCCAGATATCTATACCTCCTATCACCATCACCTAAATTCTGCTCATCCACAGCCAGAAACGAAATTTTATTTTCTATAATTAAAAAAAAAAAACAAAAACAGATATTTTGTTACTGCACGGTTGTAGATAAAATACTGTATGTAATACGTATGGAAATTAGGATATTAGCGCCCTAGAGATTGCAAACCTCGCCTCTGACCGGCTCGGTTTGCAAATTTCTCTCACGTGCGGTAATACAGTTATACCTTACTTATGTAATATTCTATTAAACTTTAATTAGAGCATAAAACACAGGTTAAAAGACTGCCCTATCCAAATATTTTTAGATGGTTTGGTTGGAAATAGATTTATCTTATCATCTTTTCAAATTAAGCGATTTTAGGCTTTTCAAAGATTTGAATTTTTAGAAAAATAATTGCTATAATAGGTATGAGAATATTGCTAAAAAAAAAAATGAAAGAAAAGCACACTTATTTTCAGTATAGAACATAATTTTTTTATCATTGGATAACTACATAATAGGACTAGGAATTATGATTCTATCCATGATTGAAATTCTAGAATTTTAATTAGTTGCTGATCCTATTTAGTATTTACCTAACTGAGAAACTGGTATAGGTCAGGAACTTCTCAGGAGAAATGTCAGGTTTTCTAATAACAACCTGTATATAGAATATATAACATAACTTACTTTAGAAAATAATCACAGATGTTACTACTGCCCCTTTAGAAAAAAATCAAATCTTATTTTCACCTTCTACAGCTTTTTCACACAGCGGAGACCACTGCAGTGGGTATTGATTATTCAAAAATATTTACATTAAGTATTCAAGGAAATTTACAATGTTAGTAAAAATTGGACTGTTAGCAATAAATACACAAGAACAGATAAGTTTAATAATTTTCCACTGTGTACTTGTAGTGGGTCAAGGCCAAGATATAAAGGTAACTAAAAATTTTCTTTTTGATTTTATGTTTTTTCAAAAAGAACGGCACTCACTTCAGATAGGAGGAATTCGAGGAAATACGAATCGGGACAATCGGGTGAACGCGAACGTGAACCTTGCTGCAAAGTGCAAAGTGCCAAGGCTAAAGTTATACTCTTCTTTTTCCCATTATGCAATCCAATCCATCTGTCAAAAAAAAAATCAATATGGCGTGGCAGCCAAGCAAGTTTCAAATATGTGTTTTTTAAGTGTATTGTTATTTTGCTTCGAGTTTTTCTACTTTTTCTTGTAAGTTTGATTTTGATTATTTAGTAAAATATTTGTCGACAAGATACGTAACCTATTAGTCGGGCAGATACTTTTTTTGTGTTTACAGGGTGTTGTAAAATGCCGGGGATAAGTATATCTGGCTGGAGGATGTAGAAGCCGTGAAGAAAGGTACAATATATGTCTTTCTACCCTCTACAGGGTCCCAAGCGTAACCAGTTCAGTATATGTTCGTGTTTTGCCCATTTAAATGAACTATCAGGATCAGGAAAATAGCATACTTAGTTAGCGGCAATCAAACGCAACAATCTAAAGAGTTTATTGTAGTAAGCATTTAATCAGAGGTAAAAAAAAATGAGTGCTATTTTGTATAATTTCTTCATTCATCAATCATCATATGGTTTTATAATAGGAATACCAAGTGAGTTGGAGGATGTAGATAATCCTGACTGGGCACGAAAATAAGTTCTTGCAAATATTGGTTCTGCCTAATGATAATGTCTTGTCGGATTGCAGTTAACAGATGCCCTCACAAATACACCTTATCAAAGCACATAAAACTGTGAAACTCCAACTCCAAGCAAACAGCATGCAGCACAGGACCATACAAAATGAAAGTTTGGCGCTTGGCCCAAAAAAATATAAACACCTACAGAATTGCTTATTACCATTTCCGACGTCATCAATTAAAGTCGTCAGCTGTTTAAGCAGCCTACTTCAAGGCGAGAAATAACATGCTGCCTACGTCACAATTGGTTATTTGTCGAGGGGGGAGGCGATTTGTTACACCCAGGCCTTATGAAAATAGGTCATCCTGTAGTAGTGGTGTGTATTATCCTTGGGATTAGCTCATGTTTGGCTGTCACGCCATCTTGAATATCACGTAGTTTGGATTCAAGGATAATACACACTATTACTACAGGATAGCCTATCCTCGTAAGGCCTGTGTGGAACCAATTTGAAGCCTCCCACCATGCCAAATCACCAGTTGTGACGTGGACAGCATGTCCTTTCTCGCCTTGATCTAGGCTTTTGCACTACAGGATATGAATCCGCGGGCTTTTGCTTTATAAATAGTTGGTTTTACTAAAGTCTGTTTGTTTTTAAAGATAAAAGTCAAAATGTGGGCAATACAATGTGAAATTGTCAATGCTTCGAAATTTTTTATGCAGAAAAGGCTTGTGCTGCCAACATAGTTACTAAATTCGCTGTGTCTGGCGTCCCGGCACCGGTATTCATACGAATCCCGGTTACGAGTACGACGCGTTTTCAATGACGTCATCAACGACCACCGGGATTTATCGTGAATCCCGGCTATTGGAATCAAAATTCAAAGTCATGTTTCTCTTGCTGCTTGAAGCTGTGATTAATTCCGGAATAGCTTTTGTGTATTATTGTTTCTTGTTGTGATATTGGTATAAGAGTGGTAAGTACTTCGTTAATCCACTTTTCGTAGTAGTGGTTTAAATAGGGAATAGTATGGTTCATTTTCAATCATTATTCAGGACTATAGCTTTTTTAACAGCCTGTATCTCTGAAATAGGGTACTCTTGGACCCATGTTTATAGGAATTTTTGCTCTTAATTTGAGATGTAGAATCCGCAGTTAAAATATTAACCTCTAATTTTAGGGCACCCTATGTAATGTTGCTGAACATTAACGGCGTTGCTGTAAGATCAAATGCTGAACAAACTTTCAAAATGACCCTGTACCTACATATAAGGTGAGTTCGGGATGGTAGAAAGTGCCGACACTTTTTACACCATTGACACTGTGGCGTTCGTTAATTGGTAGGAGTGTTTGGTGTACAATTTATTTGCGTTTAGAAATAATTTGGTGTACGAATGGTGTGAAGATGGTGGGACACCGTTTACTCGGTACAAATTGGTGGTGTATTCGGTAATAAATTTGCCCCAATACCAATGAACATAATAATTATTAACATCTTGTATAGCAATAGCCGGGATCCACGACAGTTACCGGTGGTTGTTGATGACGTCATTTATAACGCGCCATATCCGGGATTCGTATGAATACCGGTGCCGGGAGGCTAGACACAGCGTTATTTTTATTAATTATTCGGGACTATAGCTTTTTTAACTCCCCTGTATCTCTGAAATAGGGTACTTTCGGACCCATGTTTATAGGAACTTTAGCTCAATGTTAGATATAGAATCCGCAGTTAAAATATTAACCTCTAATTTTGGGGCACCCTGTGTGATGTTGCTGAACAAGGATGGCATGTAATATTGACATTTGAGTTGAAAGGGGCGCTTCTGTACTTGGAGCTCTTCAAATTTTGACGCGTGAATAATTGAAATTAATTTTAACCTCGAAAGTCAAGTTTGATGTGTGGTTTAAAAACAAGCTGACACTGACACTTTTGAAAATATTCTTTAAGGGCCACTGAACGTTTCGGAAGATATTTTAACTTATTCACTGTTCATTGTTCGTATGTAGTCATCTTCCTTTCTACTTATTAAAACGGTTTAAAACTATTGACATTTCCCGCTAAAATTCAAAGCACTCCAAATTCACTCGCGCCCTCTACAAAATTTTGGGGAACTTAATACGATATTTGCTGCCATTCAGCGAAATCACAAAATTACCCGTGGGGAAATGCTGTCTGTAGATGTGTATGTATGATCTTTTATGCCTTCTATGAGTTCTATGAAGACATATTATGTAAAACGTTAAAAAAAATATCAAAATTTTCTAAAAATTGGATTTGTTAGGAATGTAAGCTGTACATGAACAATTGATATCAAAAAGTTGTAGCGATTACTTCAGAATTTATACTTATGTTCGAATTATACCTATCTATTCTATATTCTATGTAGGTACATATATTGAAAGTCAAATTTTATTTCCCATAAATAAAAGCTTATCGCGCCCGACTTATTCGTTTACTTTTTTACCCTACATAATAATTCTGCCCCGATACCAATGAACATAATAGTTATTAACATCTTTTATTGCAATAGCCGGGAACCACGACAGTTACCGGTGGTTGTTGATGACGTCATCGAAAACCCGTCATTACCGGGATTCATATGAATACCGGTGCCGGGAGGCTAGGACACAGCGTACTAAATTTTTGATTTGGGGAATTATGTTAAAAAAAAAAAACAGACTTTACATTAATTAACATTCTAAAAACAATTCTTTTTTAAATCTCGTTTTCGTCTTCCTATTATGTTAATCAAAATTAATGTAGATTATGCCACGAGTCAATAATGATAGCCATTAATGCGAGTAATATACTGTACTTTATTTACGATAAATTAATTTATTTGAGATTTTTAATGAACAAATTTCATCCATTCAATTCTCAATACAAATCCACAAGCACTACACATTTGACACTGACACTTCTGAGGAATAATGACCATTAATCCCTCTACTCGTCATTATTCCCAGGGGGAATAACATATGGCATTATACTGCCAAAATCACAAGTATAATACTTACATCATACATTCATTAGCCGTAAATAATACTTTTCTACTGACGTTTCATAATACCTACGCATTACGAAACTCGCCTGCGGCTCGCTTCGTATCCTACAACATGTTCGTGTATTAATGGCTGTCATTACATGATCATTGCATAATATATTATTTTCATCATAAATTTAAATTCTGAACCGCTAGGGCAAACAGCTGACCACTTAGTTATGACGTCAGAAATGGTGACACACCTAGCAGCGATTACCAAAAACAAGGCCAATAAGCAATCCTTAGTAGTCTGTATTATTCTTGGTTTGGATTCAGGAACACTACTTGTTCAATGGGATTAGAATCGAATTTTCGCGACTACTACTTTCATGATTTGATGAACACAAAAGCTTTCGCGAGAAACTCATGACGTCATATTGAACGTAGTTCACCGTCAGCATGGACGCAACTTCTAGCTACAATGACTAAGGGTGGGTTTTATAAAACTGCTTTGACAGTTAACTTGAAGTTAACTTTTTGAATTACATGTAAACTTTAAGTTAACTCTCGAAGTAGTTTTATAATACCCGCCCTAAATAAACCTTTACATGCAGTGGCGACAATGGAGGGCCTGCCGCCATTTTGTGCCTTATTTCTTTTTACTTTTAAATATGAATATATAGGATTTTAAAGAACCAATCAAAAATGAGACAGCAATTGTCGCCACTGTGGTAATAGAGAAGTCACTGTAATTCTAGCCAGCGTTCAAACTCATGACGTCGGAAGACAAATTGGCAACTCCCCTAATCAATCAGTAGTCAGAGTTACCGATCGGTATCAAGCGGGTAGTCTATGGTGACAGTCTGGTTCCTGAAAATGCGGTTTATGTGTGGAACGGAACGCTTCAGTTCAGCTTTGGTTTGGCTTGGAGCATGCTTGGAGACTTGATAATAAAATATTATCCTCTCGAAAATATATTTGTAGTAAGAAATCGGCATGAATGAATGTGATATTTACCTCTTGTTCCATTTTCACCGCAAATACATTTTGAAAGCCAGAAATTGAAAACAAACCGAAACAACCAAAGCTTTTTGATCGGTACATTCGGTGACAGTTGGGACCGAATTTTTCAGGAACCGCGTTTCATAACCTAACCAGATTTCAGGAGTGGTTAGGTTACGGAACGGAAACCGGAAAAACCAAGAATCTAGGTTAACTTACGAAACGTCGCCTTAGTTCGTAATTTAGAACGGTTCTGAAATTGCGCAGTACTGCTTGCGCACAAAAAATAATGAAGAATGGTTCTAACTAGAGGTGGGTTGCGATTTCACGAACTGTGACTTTGTCACTGCTACTCGTCTGTCACAGTCACGACCTGCTCCAGTCCCAGTCATGTGGCAGTGACATTTTGTCACTGCCCGTTCAA